ATCTAATATTTTTAATTGAAGTACATATTCAAACACAATTCTAATTTTTTAGTTTAAAACTATTTTTTTTCTTTCAAATTTCACATTTTTATATCCAAACGCTTATTTAGTACTCATTTAGAAGGAAAAGACTTATATATATTTAATAGTGAAACTACTTTTTTCATTACATTAATTTCCTTACGCCAATAACTAATTAGAACGGCATTGAAGATGAAAGGATGGTTTCAGTTTTCACCGAAAAGGTAGAGGAAGAAGAAGAAGAAACAAAACAAGAGGGTGAAATGGAAAATCAGAAAATACGACAACCGTACAAAGACACTAATAAGTAAAAGGGGGTGGAGTTATAATATTGAGATATTTTCACACTGGTCTTATCAATCAAACTGACATATCAAACGTATTTTTCTCGTGGGTATTGTCGTGATTCCAGACAGCTTTTATTTTCACAATCAATATAATAGGGACCACCGACCAATACTTAGGGGTATTTTTGTTTTAGAAGTAAGATTTCTTGGAATTAGTAAGTAGGAATTGTAATACGTCAATTATAACGTTGGTCTAGTAATGTAGTGAATGTAACATATGAATTAGTCATGCAAAAATTATAATGTACTAATTGCAATATTGAGATTATTAGTTATTGGATATTTTGTTTGTTGTATTAAGATTATTATTATAAATTGGTATATTGTTTTCGCTTTTTTAACAAAATGAAAAATTTGTTACTATATGAAGAATTAGTATTGTCAATTAGTTGTTTTAATCCATGTATTACTAGGGTTAATTGGTTTTTTAGTTTTTTACAAACTTGTTTTTAATTTTATGACCCTACCTCTTTTTTTAATACATGTGAGATTTATTTTTACACATAAGAGATATTTCATTTACACATAAGAGATCTAAAAAAGACATTTTCTTAAATTCAACATTGTAAAAAGCCAAGAAGACCTAAAACCTCGTATTACTAGTTCTCGCATTCATATTGTATATAAATAACACATGAAGTTCTGCATAGGAGTATTTGTTACACTTTTTTGTTTTTTGGAAACCAAACATTATAGTGAATAAAGCTAAATTTTATGTGAAAAAAATCAAATCAAACGTTATTTAAAACACATTGAATTTTATGGTTTTTGCGATAATGTTAAATTTTATGTTAAGATTATTTTGTCGGCTACTTAAATCAAAACGTCACTTCACCTTGCAGTTGCTTGTCAAAAGATACTCTAATAAATAATATATTGTCCCAAAGCTAAAACCGATCGTTTCGCCGCACCACTGTACCCTTCGGCCCTTGGGTATGCCGAATAGATGGGCCGTGGGCTTGGAGAGGCGAATCTACAGTGGTTCCTAATTATTGCAAGCAAGTGTGTTCAACTTTTTTGTTTCTTTCTATTTTGTCCATTTCAAAAGATAAATAGGAAAGTCTAAACTTGAAAATTCGAATATAGATTCATCAGTTTTCTGTTGAATTATATACTTAAAGCTTATTCAGCTTTAAATTTCCTATATCCATCTCCATTTGCGCCTTTATCCCTTTTACCAAATAGTTGAGGTGTGAGTAAACTGACCCGAATATCAATAGTCGTCAAAAAAGAATCTCACTTAATTTTCTTTCATTGATCAAACCATACCAGGCCTTGTTAAGATACCTTTACAAAAACACCTTGACGTGATATGGAGTTCTTTTTTAGTGTAAAATGTTTACGTAATAGATGAAGCTCCAGTGTAAAGGGAGACGTAATATTGGCAACAAGTACACGCGTACATCTCAGTATCGACTCAGATCCAGTACGGGGACGTATGCTTTTGGAATTCATGAGGGAAAACCAAAAATATCCAAGCTTTAACTACTGGCAAAAAAAGGTCCAAATCCAATGATCTCTCACTATCCAATATAAGCTGGGTTATGGATCAGATATACATTATAATGGACTCGACTTGAAATGAACATAGAATACCCAAATCCAATCACCTACAAAGTATCTTGGAAATTTTTAACTCATGTATAGCAAATGTATACACCCTATTTATTATACATCAAAATCATTTTAGACGCTTTTTGCTGCTGTATTTAGGGTGAATATGAGTCGGGTTGGTTCGAATTTTCTAATTACCAAACCAAATCAAACCAATTGTATCGGGTTATTAAATCTAAATACCAAATCAAACCAATAAAAGTCGAATTTTTTAATCTCGAGTTTCTCGGGTTTGTCGGAATTTTTTTCTTCATAAAGTCTTCATAGCACAAAATATAAAAATTGTGTTTCAAATATTTCTTTAATCGTAGTAAGACAGAACTATATAAGGTGTTTTTCAATAAAATAACATAAATATGAGATGAGTTATGACATTGTACTAAAATATTCAACAATAAAGATAATAAAATCGCATAAAATAAATATTATTAATAAGCATAATGAAAACAAACATAATTTAAAATTATGACTAATAAGTACTATTATTTACATGAATAACCACTAAAAGAAAAATAAGTTATACATTTTATCTAAACCATGGAAAAACTAAAAAAACAGATATCCGACACTATTTTCATTCATAGTACAATTGAATTGATTGTCTTTTATTAGCATTAGTATTGATTTATTTTTTGTTTAGGATTTATTTGAGTTACTAACATTTATAGACTATAAAACTTATTGGAGCATCCAAAAATTATAAGCCCAAGCTTGAAATAATACGTTAAAAGATAAAACTATTAAAGCTTAAGAAATATTTATAAACTACACTACCATAAATATTTTTATGTATTAAATATATTTAAAACTTCTATACATATAATGTCAGGTTGGTTTGGTTTCGGTTTGACTTTTTTTAGTTAAAATCAAACCAAACCAAATATGGTCGGGTTTTTTTTTTTCCTAACACCAAACCAAATCAACCCAAACTAGATTAGAACACTCATTAGTGTGCGACCCCATAGGTTCAATACTAAGCCGGTAGTAAATTGATCATATCAATATACTAATCAAGGATGGCGTCTAGCAACACTCCTTAACGACCGGATAGAATGAAGTGTACAATTTACTCTCAAGAACCAGTAGAAGAATAATGTAGTAATTTCTTTTGTCCTTTTAGCTCTGGGTTACACTAGGATATGGTTCAACTGTCAAATTCTAATAGGCGACCAACTATGTGTTCATGTCAAATATAATCAATAATTGAATGACCTAAGAAACTCTTTTCCTCTTTCATTCAATTGCCCTGGCCAAGGTCTTAGTTTGGTCATTTATAATTCATGACAACATGGAGCTTAAACTCATTACCAAGAGTCGACAGATTTCATCTTGATCAATCATTAATTCTACAATTATTTAATCATACCCAATATACTTTCAACTATCGCCCTATGGCCATAGGTGTCTAGTATCAAAGCACAATAAATAACTTGTCAATTACTATGACGGTCTCAGGTCAAAGGAAACTCTTACATCACATTCTTCAAGAGAATATCCTATTGACAGTTTATGGTAATTCTAACCATTAGGAATTATCCAATGAGTCGGTTCAATGATCATATCTCTATATGCATCATCTATATATTTGATTTAGTTAATGAGATCAACTAATCTTTATCCCATAAAGACTATCATATAAATATTGATCTAACCGGATTACTAATGTCCAAATTAATAATCCTACGATTAAGAACAAATTTAGATTAAATTGTAAGATGCTTTACTCTCATTATCATGATCTCCATCACAATGACAAGTCTCAACATTTAATCAAGGACCTTATTAAATTAATAAAGCAATTAATAATAATTATGATAAAAGAATATCAAATGCCATATATTTTTATATCAAATAACGTTCACAAAAATATGTTCAAATCATCAAATATGAGATTAGATCTAGGGCATATCTACTATATCCCTAACATACATGTGAATACATGCGCATACAGATAAACTGCCCTGATTTTAGGCGCTTTTGAATACAGTAGTGCATAGCGAATACATTACCGTAACAACTGATTAATAGCTATAGGAAGTAATTATGTATATGATAGTTATATGAAATTAATAGGCAATAAACAATAGTGATTTTTAAAAATTTCTCAGGTATCTTTCCTATGGAAAAAAAACATGGATTTAACTTGTAGTGTAAATAACTTTTATGCTACGAGTAGTTCTCCCTTTTGCGTTCCGTGTAATTCATGGTAATATATTTGGTATTACAATTTATGCAAAACTTCCCTAAATATTGTCATGCTAAAAAACTATACATGGAGAATAGAAATTAATACTGAACTTTCCAAGGGGCGGCCAAAAGAAAATTAACACTGTATAACGCATAATCATTAACAAAGCCGAATTACAATAGGGGTTTGTTTTGGTATGGAACGTTAGTCAAAATGTTTCAGAATTTCTTTTATGAAAACAAATTCCTTAAAAATTAGAAAAATAACTTTCCTAGTGTGAGTAGGAAAAACCTAATTCTATAGGTGACACTCCCCTCTGATTGTTTCCTCCGCTCCCCAACACCCCACCCCTAGCCCAACCTACCCCAGCCCCAAAGTGTTTGCTAGATTACATATAAGCCCTTGGGATAATATGTTCACTTACAGCAAAAAAAGGTAAGAAAGTTATTTATTTCTCCCTTTATAATTGTTCTTTTTTTTCTTCCAAAAATTAGCGGCTCGGTATTTTTATTGGGGGAAAAGTCTATCACTTCGGTTCATATAGAATTTGATTTATATATACACTGTGAGAGAGTAAAAAACTTTTTACATTACTAGTGAAATTTAAATGTGTTTGACTTATTTTCAAGTTGCAAAATTCCACTTAGGCTGTTACTTGTTAAACTCTGTTGAATTTTGTGAAAAATTATCTCATACGGTGCCTCCTTGATTTTTGACTAACAAAGTTCTTGGAACATATAGTGAGATGTCCATTGCCAGGATTTGGAACTAAAAAACAAGAAGAAAAATATTGTCTTAATCCATCAAAAGCTAAGCCAGCCCTTCTTTGCTTCACATAGAGGGAGCAACTTTTCTGGAGGAAGAGTATACTAACTTTTCTTTTCCTTCAAACTATCATTTCAACTATGATTATGATCACATTCATCTTCATGCTGAGTACTAACAGGAGAGGCATAAGGGTGTTTACTTATAATCCTGAAAATCAACAACTACATTAGTTAGTACTACTTAAACATATGGGAGTGAATCACTGAATGGTTCCTTCATATAATTAATGGACTACTACTTATTAATCAAGAGATTAATTAAGCATTTTAAAGCTGGAAATTAATTCACCTGTTGTGGCGTTTCTCCAAGAATCTCTTTAGGGATTTCCTTCTTGCAATTGGCAGCTCTAAAGTAGAAACAACAGAATCCACCAAAAATTCAGTTAATATGCAAGATGATGACCATAAAAAAAAACCTGGATTTTTATGATATAGAATAAAATTAAGAAAGCTCACTGATGTAAGCACTTAAAAATTTTCCTAACTTTAATCGGCTAAGTACTAGCATTAGTTATAGCATATAACCACCAAGGAATATCGTCGAACGAATAAAATTGTTCCACTGTTAACCAGAGATCGCATGTTCGAGACCTGAGAATGAAAAAACTCCCGGTAGAAAGTGCTTCCCTTTTGGTGGACGCGACACAAATTCAAATTCGTCAGACCAGTGGGTTTTAGATGGCAAATGTATCAAAAAAAAAAGTAGTAATATTTATAACATATAATGTCAAAATCACCAGCTGAATGATCACCTGCTTGGAACTTGCAGGCAGATGGAACTTGGGATTTCTGAGTTGGTTCAGCTTCTTTCGGGGGAAATTTTACATTAGTAGAACCATCTAACAATGAACTTTCACGTGCCAGATCCATAATAGACTGTGCCTAAAAGAAAATATATCACACGGTGTCAATGTACCATTGCAAATTCAGAGTGTAGATACAAGAAATAATTAGATTGTCAAAAGATAACTCAGAAAAACATGCATCTTTTGCAATATCTAATTATATATCTGTACCTTTTCAACAGGAAGATTGTCATAAACATGTACAATCCCAGCATAGAATATAGTTAACTGTTCTGATTTAGACTTCTCTCTTTGTGAAACAGGAAGCTTAGTATCATGCCTATATACGAGAAGAATATCAAAGGAATCAAAATGCAAACACAATTACTTTGATAATTACCTTCAACCAACTGTTAATTAAATATGTTCACTTACATGATTTTTGGTAAAATTGCCAACTCTAGAGCAGACATCCTTCTATGACTACCATTGTTACCTATACCTTTTAAGTTGCTTTCATTATTTTCCTTCTGAGAATCGAAGTTCTTATTAAACTTTTCAATCTTCAAGAAATTTTTTGCCACTTTGGAGCTGCAATACATTTTATCAGTCTGTGCAAAATAATGTACAAACTTTTGGAACTATGGTCAGTATATAACTGTATGCTAAGACAAAAATAAGAATGAAATAAGATAACTACCTGATTAACGTATTGGTCTATGCCCAAAACCAATATAATTTTAGCATGGATTGAAGTAGTAGTAAAATTGTGTAAGATTAAAATAAAGGATGTGGGGTTGGAGAAAAGCTTGGAAATAACGCCTAAAATGGCCGATTGTCCGTCTGCCGGCATCTCGATGAATTCGAAATTGAAAACGTTTTTCACAAGAATCCCCTCATGAGATAATTGGTAAGTTAGTAGATAATATACATAGTATTAACAATTAATTAAATATTTTTCTAGTTCTTGGACATATTGTAAGGAAAAAAATGTCATGATATGGCCTTAGGAGATCCGTTTCACTAAAAACAACATTATGCCACGATCTCGACTAGTTAGTCTAGATTCTTGATCACAAAAAAAAAAAGGATTGGCAAATCAGAAGAGAAAGAAACATTGGTTAGTTAACAAATGAGAGTACTAGAATTAATAGTGCCACTGGTCAGGAATGTGCTAGATTTTTGCTGAAACCATTCTAGGCCTACGAGTGGGAGCCAATGTGGACTCCAAAATCTTTAACCTTGTTGCTGCGTTTTTGATTAATTTTGAGAAATAATTAACTGTCTTTACTTATCCATTAAGGTTGGTTAATCACTAGATCCAAGTATGTTTGTCTTCATAACATTGTTTCTTCCCATGTGCTATGTTGCTGTTGTCTCTCTAATATCTTTTGTGAGGATTTAGACTTGGCAGACTAATTGAGAGTTTTTTTTTTCTTTTGTTTGTTTAGAAGTTTCTTCATCATCCACAAATTCTGGTTGACAACAACCCCATTAATCACGAAAAGGAAAGAAAGCTTAAGAAAAGTTTATTCAAAAACTATTTGGTGTTTAATTAGTAGAATCTTGCAACCGCGGTGTCTAATTTTTCGCGTGCACAGATTATAGAAGGACTTGGTTTTTCTATGTGCTCCTTATACTACTGATGTGGAATAATAAATGCAGAAAGTAAAGAACACAAGTATTTTTACATGGAAAACACCTAGCTCAAAAGGTGAAAAAATCACGACCTACTACTCAGTAGGATTTTTTCCAATACTTCAATAAATCACTGAGCCAAAAACAGTATTTACAAAACTCTTTGTAAATTTAAGGATTACCTCTAATCCTTTGTGGCAACCAGCCTCTACCTGTTGCGACAACTTCAAGTTAACTCTAACTTGAATACTACACTCAAAGTACCTAGTACAATTGCTTCTAGATAAAGTTGAAAGGTACAACTCAAAAGCCCTACTACAATGAAACTAGAATAAAAGACAGACACTTGAAACTGGTTCTTCTATCTGGTTCATGTAGCTTCAAGTTCGCACACTTGAATGATACAGGAATTGCTTGCAAAATGCCTTGCTATTTTGCTCTCAACTCATGTTTAACTTCAGCATTTGTGCGCGCCTGTAAAATGAGAACATCCTGAAATATATAGAGTTAGTAGAATAGGAAATAACTAGAAGTCTAATACTTTACTCTTCATTGGTGGAAGAGTTCTAGTTATCTTTAATTTCTAACTCTTCCCTTATCTAGGATGGAGTTTTTTTCGAGTAAGGAGTCCTTCTCCTTATCAATTATGCAACCTTTTCATTCAGAAGATATCAGATATAATCACTTAAGCTTATCTCATTCACGTGCATGCCTTGTGATTGAATCTGTCAGTGTCTGTGTACACTGTGTATAGACCCGGTTTATACTTGAGCTCCTTTGTCAATCATCAAAACAAACTTCACTTAAGCCAATAAATTTCCCCTTTTTGATGATGACAAAATATGTGCTTTTCATAAGCATAAGACATGTTTCAATTCAGCTCAACATCAACATAATGTTAGAACACTTTCCATTTTAAAGTCACAAATCATCAAGGACCAGTTTCATTAGTTTATAAACATCACAGTCCAAAAAATCACAACCTATCTTTCCCCTTTTGGCATCATCGAAAAGTTGCATAATTATGTTAGATAACCAGATTTCTATATATATATCACTCATGGCCGCTGGAGCTACTTCAAATGCAATCATGGAGTCATGCATCATTTATCAATCTAATGATATTAGCTATCTAAGAAGCATCAACAAATAATTAGAGCAAAAAAGAATAGTTGATTATCATTGATACTAGTCATTAACAAAGCATAAAGAAAAATAAAGATACTGGATTATGAGCAAAAAGAACAAAATTAATCCCATTCGGGTCACTAGTTTGTCTAACTAGGCTAGGAATGTTTCAAGACTGGGAAGGACCAGGTTCTTGATTTCTGGCCTGAAGTAGCTTTAACATATCATGAAGAATGCCTTCATTCTTCTCCTTCTCCTTTGCAAGCTTAGCCCTAAGAGCATCCCTCTCAATTTCTACTTCATCTAACCTCTTCTTCAACCTCTCAATCTCAGCATCCTTAGCCCCACTCTCTTACACCAAGGCTCTTACTTTGTTGTTCACAGGTACCTTCTTGGATGAACCAGGTTCTTTGGGAGTTGTGTGGACTTCATAGTCACATGTAGTCAAGGTGTTAGCCCCAAAGTGATTTTTGCTTGTACTAACATCCCATTTCTTGAGGGGTACCTTGAAGTGAGCATGTAGTCGTGAGAATGAAACCATAGGGTATGACATGCGTTTTGGTGCCAGTTAGAACCCAATCAAGAAGCTGGATGATAAAACCAGGTCAATTGATCTGCCTCCCATTATTCAAGCATTCCATAAGGGCCAGGTCCATAAAAGTGGCAACGTGCCTTCTTTCCTTCCCGGGCAACACAACATTGTTAACAAATTCAAACAGCATTTTGTGAGCATGCCTCATCTCACTTTTGTAAACAGCCTTGGGCTGAAGCTCTTCCTCATTGTCAGCAAACTTCCTTGTAATGGCAAGTGAAGTGCGGAGGTTTTCTAGGCTTGGCCATTTTAACTTTTTGTAATCATTGAACCCTTCATCAGGTACTCCCAGAATCTCTCCCAATTCCTTGTCATCAAAGCTCGCAGACACCCGCTTCACCACACTGGTGACTCTGCCATTTTTTATCTTACAATTTTTCATGAACTCCACAATCTCAGTTCTGGCAAGCTTTCCATCCATATGAAGGACCATTTCCTTCCAACCCTACAGTTGTAGTTTTTCCAACAGCATCATCATGTCTGCTTCCTCCAAGTCCCTGAGGAGTCTACCCTTCAAGATGGTTCTTTTCCCAAACTTAACCATCTTGTTCACCTCTTCATCATATTCCTCTTCTTCTTCACTTTTTTCTTTCTCCACTACTTTCACTTTTCTAGATTTCACGGCAGACCTGGTTCTTTTTGCCAAGGTAGAAGGCTTTGCAGACTTTGTCTTTGAATGAGACTTCTTTTTGGAAGACTTTTTTTCTTTGCTTTTAGAGTCAAAACCTCCACCTCTTCTGTCTCCTCTTCATCATGAAGGACCAAGTCCATCTCCTCAATTTCAACTGCCTCAACAGGCTCACTCACTTTTTTCTTTCCCTTTGCAACAACTTTTCTTTGACTCTTTTCCAAGGCCTTTTCAAGTTCAGCCTCACTCTGCTTCTTCTGACTCCTTCTACTATTTCCTCTTGTAGGAGGAGTGTCTAAAGGGATAGAAGAAGCAACCTTTCTTTTCTCATTTGCCCTAGCAGTTCCAGGGATTTTAACTCCTGAACTCTTCTTTCTTTTTGGATTGTATTTGTCAGACACTCGTTTCAACATGTCTTCGAGGGGTTCCTGCATAGATGAAACATGTTCTTGGAAGCTATTCCTTAACCTAATCAACCCTTCAACAACATTTGCATCTCCAGACCCACTACCCTCTTTATCTCTCAAATTTTCTTCCCCCCCACAACAGCATCCTCACACCACAATACCATAGGTCCAGTCTCCTCAGTCAATTGAGCAGGAGTAGGTAAAGATTCAGCCACTCCTTCTTTTCCCTTTCCCCTCACATCACCTTGAGCACCCTCACTTTCTTTTTCTTTTTTTTCTTCTTATCTTTACCACTAAATTTCCTAGATTCAGTGGTTTCAACCCCAACCATAGTTCCTACCAAAACAAACCTATTCTCCAGATTATCAGCAACCTCAGAAATTTTCTCAGATGTAATCTTAGAACCAGATGTTATCTGCTCTGTTTCATATGAAACCTGTTTCAGATGAAACAATTTCTTCCCCCTCAGTTGCAGACTTAAATGATTCTTTAGATTTCTGTAGTTCTTCTGCCTGACTTGCTTTTAACTGCTCATTAATTTTCTTGATTTGTTCTGTCACGACCCCAATTCACCCTCTGTAGTATGTTGTGATGGCACCTTGTCTCTAATACTAGGTAAGCCTAACAAATTGCGGAATAACATAATAAGAGTCTGAAACTCAAACCTCAATAACTATAATTAATGGAAACTACAAGTCAAAGAACTAAAATCTCCCAAAACCTAGTAGAAACAAGTCACAAGCTTCTAAGAGAAATACTAATTGTCTCTATACATCAGAGTCTACTAAAGTAAGGAAAACAACATGATAATGATAGAGGGGGACTCCGAGGTATGCGGATGCTGGCAGATGTACCTTGAAGTCTCCGCACACAGGTAGCTCACTGATATCCGGGCTGGTAAACGGTACTCGGTTCTATACAAAATGATGTGTAGAAGAGCAGCATGAGTACACCACAGCGGTACCCAGTAAGTGCCAAGCCTAATCTCGGTAGAGTAGTGACGAGGTCAGGTCAGACCCTACTAGAAATAAAAGAAAAATATGACAGAGTATATAATAGTATAATGAAATGACTGAAGAGAGAACAACACATCAAAAAGACGTAAACAACAGGGGCGCTCTCGAGATACCGTCTCGTAGTCCCAAAAGTAAATGCTCAACAGGGGATCTCCCGAGATACCATCTTGTAGTCCCAAAAGTAAATATGCAA